GCAAGACTGGCTACTTGTATGAAATGTAAAAGAGTGGGGCATTTTGCCAAAGTTTGCAAAACGAAGGAAGACGATGCTAATAGACCCAGGAAAGGAAATATACGCCAAGTCACCAAAGATGATGATTTCGCCTTCACCTTACAGTCTAATGGAAGAGATATTCCCACCGTAGACATTGAGCTAGGAGGTGTTCGACTGGAAGGAGTTCTAGACGACTCTGGCTTCACTTGCAATGTTATTGACAGAGCGACATGGGAGACGTTTAAGGAGATGAAAGTGAAATGTGTTTCAAGAAAATCCAACAGAAAGCTGTACTCTTATCGACCCAATGAGCCACTTGCTACTGCTGGTGAGTTTGAAACTGAACTTTGTTATAAGGATAAACGTTGCCATGTTTGTTTTATTGTTGTGGAGGAGAAAGCAAGGGCAATACATAGCAGGGAGACCTCAGAGGAGCTGGCAATACTGAAACTTGAAATTAATGCCATGGAAGAAGAAAACCTACTTAGGAATTTTCCTGAGTGTTTTGAGGGAGTAGGAAAACTTAAGGGTTTCCAAGCAAAGCTCCACGTTGACATCTCAATTAAATCTGTTGCACAGAAGTTGAGACCCCCACCTTGTGGGCTAAGGGACAAAATAGAACAGAAACTCAAGGAACTAGTGAACTGTGAAATTATCGAACCAGTTGAAGGCCCCACTCCATGGGTAAGCCCGGTCGTGGTGGCTCCCAAACCCTCGGGGGACATCAGACTCTGCGTAGACATGATAAAAGCCAATGAGGCTATCGTAAGGGAACATCATCCCATTCCCACAGTTGATGACATACTCTATCAACTGAATGGAAGCAAAGTGTTCAGCAAACTAGACCTAAAATGGGGATTTCATCAGATTGAATTGGAACAACAATCGAGAGTTATTACCACATTCGTTACTCACAAGGGGTTGTATAGGTATAAACGCTTGATGTTCGGAATCAGTTCTGCCCCAGAGCTTTATCAGCACACCACTCAACAAGTACTGGCTGGATGTGAGGGTGCCTACAATATCCACGTTGATATAATTATCCATGGTCGGAAGGTTGAAGAACATGAGAGCAGGTTGCAAAAGACCACTGAGTGTATTAGTGACAAAGGACTGACCCTCAATCCGAAAAAGTGTGTATTTAGAATGCCACAACTCACCTTCATGGGATACCTGCTATGAAGAAAAGGTATCGGCCCAACAGAGTCACGTGTTGACGCAGTAGTCCGGGCTAAGGAACCCACAAACGCAGTAGAGGTGCGGAGTTTCCTCGGATTAGTGAATTTTAGCGCCCGGTTCATTCCTAATTTAGTAAGCATCTCAGAGCCACTCAGAGAATTGACTAGGAAGGATGTACCATTCAAATGGGGCACAGAACAAGGAGCAGCATTTGAAATCCTGAAGAGTAAGCTGGGACGGGCAGAAACATTGGCATATTTTGACAGAAATGCAGAAGCAGCCAAGCTAATTACAGATGCAAGCCCGGTAGGCCTTGGGGCAATGCTTACATAGGTTCAGGAGGGACAAGAGCGTGTAATCGCATATGCTAGTCGTGCCTTAACAGGAGTTGAACGCAGATACTCACAAACAGAAAGAGAGGCATTGGGACTGGTGTGGGGATGCGAGAGGTCTCACATGTACCTGTATGGGATGGAGTTCATATTGCTGACAGACCACAAGCCCCTAGAAGTTATATACTCGACTAGTTACCGCAATTCGGCTCGGATAGAGCGTTGGGTACTTCGCCTTCAGCCATATCGGTTTCGGGTACAGTACGTACCAGGTAAACAGAACATTGCTGACTCTCTTTCACGACTTGTTGATAAGGAAGAGTTGAGTGGTCATGATGATGCTGAGGAATTTATTCGCTTTGTGGCAGAAACATCAGCACCAGTAGCAATACCCATCAAAGAAATTGAGAGAGAATCAGCTACCGACCCAGAAATTTCACAACTACAAGAGTGCATCTCAACAGGAGACTGGGACAAAGCCCCTGGTGTAATATTNGACCCCCCTATGGCCTCAAGCAAATGGGGAGGTTGAAAGACAGAACAGAAGCTTGCTTAAAGCCCTTAAGATTGCTAAAGCTGAAAAAAAGAATATCTGGACCGAGATGCGAAAGTTCTTAACAGCCTATAGAACTACACCTCACACCAGTACAGGCGTCACACCGGCCAAACTCCTGTTCAACAGGGAAATCAGATCAAAGATTCCTGAACTGGGAAACTCGAGGTACTCTGACAGTGAGGCGAGAGACAAGGATGCAGAGATGAAGCAGGAGAGAACCGACTATGCTGATGGGAAAAGGAGAGCTCGAGAGAGCGAACTAGAACCTGGTGATTTAGTACTCTTAAAACAAAAGAAAGAGAACAAACTCTCGACTACTTATGGCCCACTTCCATATACCATCAGCAAGAAGCACGGTAACGAGGTCATCATATCGTCACCCGAAGGAGTAAACATGAGGAGAAACGTGGCCGATGTTAAGAAATACTTGAGAGAGGATACAACCGTAGATGAACAAGTTGCTGAAGATGACTCTTCCGAGGAAGATCACACTGGAAGGAGAACAGAACCCCAAGGGAGACCAGTAAGGGAAAGGAGGCCACCGTAGTATACTTAAAAGATTACGAAGTGTACGAACTTTGCTCGGTGAATGAGTGAGACTTTGTTGAACATTTATTGAACATTTTAATTAGTTTACCGAACACCTGATGAGGCTCGCGTTAGAAACACATTTGCCAGTTCAGAAAGACACCTTATTGAACATTTTATTTAAGTTTCACATTGGTAGTGTATCGATGCTCTCAGAGTGACTTTTTACTGAACACTTTAATCAGGCTCGTGTTGGAGACGTTTTGACCCGTTCATGTTGTTTCGTTATGTTAAGTCTTCACCTTAGGAGAAGAGGGGTTGTAGTGTACGCAGGGATATATGAAAGACTATTATAGGATAGGAACGAGAAGAAGAGAGTATGGAGTCGAAGACTTAAGGACCGCGGTGTAATCCGGTTTAATCCGTTCTTTAGATACGCACATTAAACTCTGCAGTTGCTGTATCGCTTTGCGAGTTTTTGAATGAACATTTTCGCGCGCTGATTGTGCTTCTGCCTTCATGTAAACAGAACGAATTTCAATAAATACTCATACAAGAAACGAAAGATGCTTGAAAGTCTCAATGTTAAAAAAGAAATGGTTAGCGTGCAGCTTGAAACCATCGAGTTATGGATGCATTTGGGAGGTTTGCGAAGCACTAGCTCAAGAAGCTAGAGTCGCACTCGGCTATCGCCTTGTGCGACTGTTACGCTTCTCTCGTGCTTAGCAACCTCCCGCGTGCATCCATAACTCGATGGTTGCACGTTGCACCCTAACCATTTCTTAATTCAAACCAAAAATTTCGTCGTTAATTAACGGCTAAATCGAGTGTTATATATATTTAATAATTATTCCACTCGCGCTTTTTGGATATGAGATGATAGATAGCAAACGAAGCGCGTAGCGCCGAGTTGGCTATAATCATCTCATATCCAACAAGCGCGAGTGGAATAATTGTTTTATTATACTCACGCCTCATTAACCCCTCATTATCCTCCTACCCCTAACCCTGCAGGAGACGGGACCTCCATTTATTCGTCCTTATCCGAGAAGACTAGAATATTTAACCATTTCTTGATGTTATAGAAAGGTAGCATATTCTTCTCAATTATTTTAAGACCCTGAGTGTTGGTCCGGCCGGGGCTTGAACTCTCGACCTCCCGTACAACAGTCCAGCGCTCTATCCATTGAGCTAACCGGGAGGCAATACCCACGCTCTTAACAAAACGGTTAGCAAATTCGTAGGCAGCAAATTCTTAGTTAGACTGACAGACTCCCGTCGTCAAAATGTTATCGGAATTATAAAAATTAGTATTATGAAAGTAGAAAATATAAATATTTAGAAAATAGTATCATGAAGAATAGGCGATTTAAAAAGCGTAAGTTGCGATCAGGCGGTTTTCGAGTGCGAAAGGCTTGCGAGTGCGGACTGACAACAAAGCAACGTGTGATTGAAGGTTATATCTTTACCTTTAATCTTCAAAAAGTATACTTTATCTTTGATAAGTATACTCCTAAGACAGCAAAAAAAAAACTATACTAGGATACTATACTATACTACATTATGAAAAGCGGTGCTCAGAAAGCCAGCTAATCTGTGGTCAAGTGAAATTTTAGTCTCATTCAATCTTTGTCTTAAATGTGGTTTTGGCGCGCCCCCGTATTAAAGAGAATAAGGAGCCCGAAAAAATGGCCTATTCACAGTTTTTTAGCGAGCGCGATGCGTGGTTCACTTGCTTTTACTTGACACTTGCGTTGTAATACTCCGCTGAAAAATTTTGATGGCTAAACAGGACTTTTCTTCCTTGTTTACCCACCAAGAAGAAGAGTTACGTGATGAAAGAAAAGAGACAACAACAACAATTGCAAAAGAGACTACGGTGAATGTCGATAGAGACTAGCTCTTTTATTTGAGAAGGGTTTAAAATCGGCCCTGGCATGCAACGAAACTATCACGATACGGCACGATGTAGTTCGAGCGCTCTTTCCTGGCTTGCCATCAGACCTCTGTGGGTCTGCGTACCTCGCTAGTGAAGAGGAACTGATAGCAGCACTCCTTGGTTAGGTGGAAAATGAGGAGTGTGGAAAATAAGGAGTGTGGAAAATGAGGAGTGTGGAAAATGTGGAGTGTGGAAAATGTGGAGTGTGGAAAACGTGTAGTGTGGAAAATGTGGAGTGTGGAAAACGCGGAGTGTGGAAAATATGGAGTGTGAAAAAATTTATAATTTTATAAGAGAACTAGTGGGCAGCACGCAGCAGCTTGTCTTGTAGTATTGAGTTTTTTAATCGACCACTTTCGACTACATCAGCATAAAACTACAAAATACATTATAGGAAATTATTTTATACTAGACCTTGTCAGAACATGTCACTTTCCTAGTTTGGGTGTGAACAACAAAACACCCGCGAGAATAATGCACAGGATATGATTAAAATCCTGTGCTAGAAGGTGCTTTTGGGGCTTCACGGTTTTAACGCTAAAAACAAAAAGGTAAAAGGTAAACAAAAGAATCAAATGAGCGAAACATTACTCTCAGTATGTTGTAGCTTAAGCATAGCATTTTTTCACTTTTTTCGAGTGTGAAAAATGCGGAGTGTAGAATATATATATAAATAAATAGACATAAAAATATATACATGCATAAAAATTGTCTTACTTGGGTAATACTGTTATTGTCTGCAAGCAAAATATCAACCTCGCGCTAATGTTGTTTTCTTTGGCTAGTTAGCCGTAAATATTATAAATTGACAGAAAGCGTCTGGAAAATGCTTTTGGTCACGTTCGAAAAGGTGTTACCGTTAACACCTAAATGGTGCAAATCTTGCAAATTATGTTACTTGTAAGCCATGGGTAGATTCAATTTCATTTCCATATTAACAGGTGAGTACAAGTTTGCATTGATCTCCACGTGGTCACACTCACAGAGGCCCATAATGACCTTTAAAATCCCTCTTATTCAGCCTAAATCGCTTTCGAAAGGTTACTTCGAGGGCCTGCCTAGTTTTGATAGGAGTGACGTAAAAGATTGAGATTGGTAAGGGAAGCTTTAGATCGTTAATGAAAGGCAACTACGTACCTAAAGTTGTTTGTTAAAAATGTTCAGGAGAAAATTGATTAGATTAAGTCAGCTGTCAATTCCCAGTTAACAGTAAGTCATGAGGAGTAACCAAAAGCTTGTAATTAGCCTGTGTACTGCTGTGCCCATCTAGTCAAATTAAAATCAGGAATGGGATATTCCCAAACATGAACAGTGATAGCACCATACAGATGTCCTTTTCCCAACTTATTACAGGGAAGGGGAGCACTGGTATGGCTACGCTAGTTGTAGTCAGTAAGAAATTCTCAACGAGTTTCAGCGATCACATATATTTTGCCACCTTGAAAAAAAATGGTTACAAGTCAAATAGGAATGTTTCATAATGATGTTCTCAGTGTGGGGATATGATGTAATATTACTGATGGGGATCATAATTATCCTTACAGTGCTTCAGAGCATGTGATTTTTATGACTCCTTAAGCACATGGAAACTATGTAATGCAAGGCAAAGCTAATCTAAAACAAATGAATTGAAGAAGAAGAGTAGTTG